ACAATTCCGTCCTCTTTTCCTCGAGGATGACCTACCGCATTAGACCAAATAATGGGTTTGTAATTTCAGGAATAACACGACAGGTGACTCACGTTGAGCAGGATCAGCTTACTCTTCAGGAGCATTGAGATCTACGCCGGATTTTAATGAATTTATATTGGCCAGTAATATCGATCTATTGAGTTAGCCAGCTGCAACTGATTTTTATAGCTTTTGTTGTGCTGTTACACGGCGGTCCAAGGTTAGGGTTAGGGTTGAGCGCTCACAGACATGTTTAACTCCGCCACATTCTTGATATGCATATCTCAAGTCAAGAGCCTGAATTGTCGTTGGTTCATGCGTTTCATATTTGTTTTTCGTAAATTGTTTCGTTATCAATAAGGCCGTTACATTTCTCGTTTGAATGGTTTCACATTTCAACGTGGTGGCCTTTTATAGCCGACTATACGGCTGCCTATGATTGCTTACATCTTCTTCATTTAAACTCTGGTGGCTAGTTGTCACATTGGCAATCACACCACATCTCCTAACTTTATTCAGTAGTGGCGTCGGCGTCGTCGTCATTTAGATCGTTAGGTTTCTCGTTTGAGTTGTTTTACATGTCATTTCAGATTCTTACTATGCGGTAAAGGTTTTGTTCATCTTCTTATTTTTTCTTTTAGCTTGCGGATCATTTCCCGTGCGCTTTCTTTGTGTATACCGGTAATTCACTGCGATTCTACTCATGTACTTAGATACTAGGGAACAGGAAAATTTGGTTTATTTTGCAGTAAGTAAAACTGTTTTGTCCTGATTAATTTGTAAATCTCCATGAATTGTTACAAAACTTGTATAGGAGTTATTCTTTCAGATCAAGATAAAGCATCTACAGAAAAAAAACTATTTTTTAAATTTTGTATGTTACAGAAAAATGAACTGTTTACAGTAAACATTACAATTTTACACTCACAGCAGCAATCGCATGCGAGACAGAGGGTGCCGTGGAATCCTTCGCGAATTTATTATTTTACTTCTTCTGTTTGAGAACTATGGAAAATAAACGCCGGACCAAGTGGTGTGGGGATATCCCCCTTATGTCCAAAATATTGTTATTTTTTAGTACTTTTTTTCCGATATTTGACTGTCGTTCCCCATTTTCATACCAAATAACTCTGAGCAACAACTCGACCTTTAATTTGAACTTGAACTTATAGCGACACTAATCCGAAGCACATTAAACAAACGACATATGGAAATCGATTTAAAAATAGACCTATGTTTTTCCAAAATGGTCACGTGGTTCTACCTCATCATCAAATAAACAAGTTGTCGACATAATCAATTAACAAGGTGAATTCAACATGTCGACTTCGTATTATTATGTCATTATATTTATATTAGCAAGTCGACATTGTAATGCAATTTTTTCTTCATCATTCCGACAAGTTGACTCCACATGATGATTTGATTCCAGCATATAACACACAACTTAACTAATAATTCCGACTTATTTGCAACAAAATAACTTTACAAGGGTTGTACCATATGCTCTTCCATATCATGATGATTTGATTCCAGCTTATAACCCACAACATAACTAATAATTCCGACTTATTTGCAACAAAATAACTTTACAAAGGGTGTTCCATATGCGCTTCCATACAAATGTGATGATTTCAACTTTCCAATCTGTGTTTCAACTCAGTAATGACATGTTTTCGTTGTCTTAGATCTTAATGTATCAGAATAGACATCTGCTCAGTAACTTTACCGAATGTGTCATATTCCCTTTGTAATTAAAGAGATAAGACACAAAGTTCAATCAGAACCAATTTATTATCTCCAATGTCCATAATATTCTAAATGATTCGTCAAATCGACAGTGTAAATTACTTTGAATTCTGAATTATTCATTCTAATTTGCTGGGATATTTTATTCTGTGATTGTTTTCTTGATGTTTAATGAATGGTAGATAACTCCACAGTTATTTAGTAATTAGAAGATGTTATGTTATTAAATATTTAAAATTAGGAGCGATTTATTTATTTTTGTAGTTATGGAAATTATAAAAAAAACACCTCTGACGTAAATCTTTCATTTCAACGCTCAGTTAAATTTAAAAAAAAATAAGTTGTTATTCTTTCTTTATCTTTATTTATTAAGATGTTATGTTCTTATGATATTGACATGGTCATGTCCCTAAATAGTGATCACCCAAGGTAATATTTTTTTCAGGAAGTAACATGATCACCATTATAGATAAGAAATTAAATAAATTGCTAGATATTGGAATTAAAGGATTAATGGAAACTGTGATGAGCAACAAAAAAGAAATTTCATTTTGCAATTCTTCGTTCAAATTTGAATCTGTTACGTGGAGATTGAGTTGAGACGCTAGAAAGATTTATCAGACGTTATAAAGTCTTATATTCTCTAATAACAACTTACAAACTATTGAGATCTTGAATATATTGTTTCGTTGTTTTCGTCATCTTTAAGAAAGAAATATTGAACGATTAACAAACAGCAATTAATAAACCTGTCTGAATACCTCTGAGCTTCATTAGTCACATCTTACCATAATCTTTTAAATGCTGTTGATTAAAAAACAGCATGATATTGGAATTTGAAGTCTAGTCTTGAATATATTACGATTCAATCGTAATTTTTAATTGTATAATTTATTTTTAGGACTTTAGTATACAATTTTTATATTAAGGTTGAAAAGTGACTGAAACGCTTATTTCTCGGTTCATTAATTTTCTTTTATCATGAAATTATAAATCTTTACATCGGAAATAAAAACATTTATGCTAAAACCAGTTGTTGGCATGATACGGGTTATGTTCAACATGTATTATTTATGATGGCATAATACTAGAATTCCCAACGGGAGGGATTGTGGATGATTATCCCATGATGAAGACATATTATTTCAATCAGTTTAATTGAGGTCTGGAGCTTACATGTCAGTTACTGCTAGTAGGCCTTTCAGTTTCCAATTCTAACACCGAACTCGGACTTATTTTAAACTGAGTTTTATTGTACGTATTGCTGTGTGTATGTTTATTCCACATTGGGTAGAGGTATAAGAGGAGAGTTTAGATATCTCAAAACATGTTTAACCACGCCACATTTGTGTGCCTATCTGAAGCCAGGAATCTCTAGCCTGTATTAGTCTTGTAGGTTTTTCAAAATTTTGTTTCATTTGTATGTTTCGAAGTTTAGTATGGTGTTTATTTTGCTGAACTAATATACGTTATTGTTAAGTGACCGGCTGAAGCCCGCCTCCGTGTGCAGGAATTTCTTACTGCGTTGAAGCTGTTTTCTGCTCTTTGTTTGGGTTGTTGTTTCTTTAACACATTCCCCGTTTCCATTCCCTATTCTATTAAAGTGAATTTGCATCTAATTGCATTCCTCTGATTTTTCTGTCTACTTAGACCAAGAAGACGTGAAAGTTCCTGAATTGTTTATTTTTTCTTTCCATTATGTACATCTGATATAGGCAGTGGATAAGGCGACATGAAGTTTACCGATGTTCAAACTCGGAAACGATCAGGAAGAAACAAATCTAAGTAGCAAACAAACACTGAGGAAATTTCATGAACTCCAAAAGAAGCGAATCAAGGTGCTTCGACAGGGTAAAGGTCTCTTGAGGTGCATGCATCTCCAAATCATTCGAATTCCCATTCAGTTAAATTGTCACAATCGGGAATAGGACATAATCATTTTTTTACAGACCAGACGACTAACGATCTAAGAACATATCTCGCTAGTGAGTTGAGACACCGACACATCGTACCAGTCAAATAATTCGTGATGGTGGCCGTAAAATTAATGTGGTATCGATTTCAGTCGATCTTCCTCATGATCACTCTGTTTGCTCAGTTTTTGTGCAAACAGCACATCCTTGTCCGAAAAGTGTACGATCAAGCACGGGCGTAACGTATTTACTAAGATATATAAAAACCATACGATAGAGCAGAGGGTATGCTACTGCTGCGAAATCGGACGTTCACAATTGGAAAATTGAAATCATCCCATTTGTCATAAATTATAGTTTGAAGTCAATATCGAGGATAAGATCAAGACATGAATAACAATAATATTGCAAAGTACGTACGTATGAACCCTTTACAAATGAAAAAAAATTAGTAGCGTGAATCTATCGCGAGTAGTTAACGCGCGTCTTGCGTTCAAACTTTTAAACCTGGTATCTATGATAAGGTTAACTATCCCTTCATTTACTAGCTAGTTATTCAGGGAAAAACACTAATTCAGATAAGCAAATATAATACTTGTAAGCTAATTTAGACAATAATGTCATATGTTGACAGGATCTGCTAACTCTTCCGAAGCATCTGAGATCACCCCCAGTTTTTGGATGGGTTCATGTTGCTCAGTCTTTAATTTTCTACGTTGTGTTTTGTAAACTGTTGTTTGTCTATTGGTTGTTTTTCGTTTGTTTGCAATATCGGTGTCAATTTGTCATGGACTTGTGAGTATGAATATTCCAATGCCTCTCTTTTTCAACAGGGGTGCTATTTATAGATTCAGATTCAATAGTAGATTATAGTTTCACCACATTCAACAAACATTTAAAACAAGATATACAGCAATAAGCATAAGTTAAGTGAAATATATGAGTAATTACTCCATGATATTATGGTTAACGCAAATGGATATATTACAATAACTTATGAGAATGTCGTCTTTCGACAAATTAATTTTATCTTATGGTAAAGCATGATAAATGAAATACATTTAATAAAATTGAATGACATCTTGATGTAATTTAGCTTACAAGTTAGATTTGCTAGCCGAATTTGTGTTTCCTGAATTGTAAGCTAGTACATGGAGGAAGGACTGTAAGCTAGTGTCAAGATTATTATATATGGGTACGTAATTACTATTTCGTAATATGATTTTTATAAATAAGTATCGTGACTATTCAGATTTTAAAATCAATGGCTTTGTATTGTTTAAAAACATTACATTCAATTAACCGTATATGTTTAAACAGATATTTTGATAGCATTCAAATTATCCATCACATGTCTCTTTTGTTTTGAAGAGCGTTCCCAGTATGAAGTGCGTTTTACATAAAATATTTAATATCTTGATACCGTTGCTGTTGTTGGGTGAGTATACATTCAGATATGCTAAACAAAAGGAGGGGGGAGTAATACAGAAATAAATCTAGCTATTGAAAGTTTCTGATATTGGAGGGTATGGTTACTTCATGTAAAAGAACAAATGATTGGTCAAAAAAATGTATTTTCTAAACCCGGACGTTTAAAACGAATTCACCAATTCATATCAACTGTCCAAATTGACTTTCAATCGGAAATTTAGAGGATATTAATTTTGTATTTCGGCTTATTTTATTGTACAAAAATAAGCCCTCGTGTTTTAAAAAGGGTAGTAATTATAACATAGCCTGTCTATAGGTTGCACTTTGTAAATACAGCTGTTTCTAAAACCACGCCTCTTTTGGGGAGATATATAATATTCATAGTTATTTCGTTTTGTTTACGTACTGTTTCCCAGATATGATCTCTATGTTTCATCTCATAGAAACATAACTTGGGAATGTTACCATTATAAAAACATATTGTTGCGGTGAAAATTGAATTTTTACGTAGGCACAAAGTAAAGGTAGGGGTACTACAGACTTTTAGTATAAGTTTAAACTCTAACAAGTTCGAGGCATATAAATGTTGAAAATATGCCGCACAGCCCTATGTTTTGACCTTTGAATTATATAGTAGTGCATATCAACTTTCCATTCTAGGATATAATTTTTTACGAAACTTCATAGTAAAAGTGGTACAGTTTAAGCCGCAAAGGGAGTTCCTATGGGCCATTGCAGTGTCTATATTTACAAAAATGCAACCTATATTGGGAGGAAATAGAGAACATACAGAATTTCACCAAATCTGGTTTTTATCAGAGATTTTAATGAAATTAACTCAAATATGAAGTTTTATAAATATTTCATGAAGATTGAGAAAATCCTGGGTCTTAACTATGATGACTCATAAATTCACAGTTTACAGTATGCATAGTCTACTTAAAGCCCTGAATGCAAAAAAATCATAATATATGCATATTTGTAATTCAATTTGTTTAGAATTCAAAGTGCTTATATTTGCTCTTCGCAGTCATTGAAACTCATAGATCCTTCCTGAATATTGTTGGTGGTGTATTTTTGTCCTGTCGATAATCCAAAAGTAAGCCGTTACACCTAAAAGTGCTTTTTCGTGACCATGGCATAAAAAAATACAGGCTAGAAATACAAAAATACCTCAGTAAAACTAACAATAGTGTGTTCTATCCTAAATATGTACTAAATATTCCATATTGCTAGAAACAGCAGAATAATTTAGGAAATTTGATGCCCAAGTGGCAAAAAACAGAGAAAAATGACTACCCCCTGGGTCATAAAACAGATAATTTAACCTGTAAATACTATGATTTTATTATTTCAAAGGTCTTTTGTATAGGAAACAATAACTGTATTTGGAAGTTATGGAAAATTGGATGTTAGCAGTCAGTCCTATGAAACTTTTAATGAATTCATACATCAGACTGGTAACTCCATACATACAACTTTTGCAAATATGGCTTTGTTTAAACGAGGGTTTCTTATCGTCGAGTTGCAAGTTGCGAATTGAAAAGTCCGAGTTGCGAGTTACAAAAGTCGAGTTGCGAGTTAAGAAAGTCGAGTTGCGAGTAACTAAAGTCGAGTTGCGAGTTACCAGGTTGAGTTGCGAGTTATGAAGGTCGAGTTGAGAGTAACGAAAGTTGAGTTGCGAGTTACAAAAATCGAGTTGCGAGTTACAAAATTAGATCTGCTTGAAAATGGGGAAAACTATTTTAATTTGTTGATGTACCTCTTTAACATTTTTGAATGATGATTGCTTATAGAATTGTATACAGTATTGTTCGACTTTCGTAACTCGCAACTCGACCTTCGTAACTCGCAACTCGACTTTCGTAACTCGCAACTCGACTTTCGTAACTCGCAATTCGATACTCGACAACAAGTGAATCTCTGTTTAAACACTTTTAGTTCATATATTAGCTAAATTGTGTTAGATATACGGTTAGAGATGATACTGTTGTGACAAGATTTCTAAACTGACCATTTGAGGCAGACATTGTGAACTTTCATTGACAAAGAGGCATACATTAAGATGTGGACTGGAAACAAAGGCAGGATTGGATACTTTATATAATCTTGAATGTTGGAATGATTGACTACTAAACTTTACATTTATAGTATTCTGAAATGCTTTCAATTTCTTATCAGAATAGTTTCAAACAGGTTCTAGACATTTCATGTCAGAAAACATGCACATAGGGTAAGCTGACAACAATTAAAATTTTGTTTTCAAATTCTTTAAAAAATTGAAACAGGGGTTGGGGTATAAAATCTACTGTAAAACAAAACTTAGAGTATACGCAGTGATTTCTTTAAGGCTATAATTCTGATAAATAAGTATTGTTGTGAGAAAAAGTGTTTTTAGAGAGATTTCTATTTGAATAAATGTTAGTCTAATGTGAAAATATTAAACTGGATATTGTTGATATCGTTTATATGTGCTTTTAATTTCAATTGATATCCTATGCAACGTACATATGTTGTTTTATTAGAAAGCTTGCACGATGGATTTCGTTACCATCTAACATATGCGTGTGAAAAAATCTGAAATTCATGAAAACCCAATCTAATTAAAATATAGTTTTCTGATTTCGTTATATTCATATATATACAAACACGCGAGTTAATATAGCTTGGAAGAATATGTTTAATGAGTTGTTCTCGGTATGTTTCAGAGTGGTCTTTAAAAAAAGGTGAAATGTATTTGGGATAGAACTGGTACAAGTTCCTTTAAGAATTGTATTTGATTAATTCTTTCAGTTTTCCTACATAGATATAAGAAGATGTGGTATGAGTGCCAATGAGACAACTCTCCATCCAAGTCACAATTTGTAAAAGTAAACCATTATAGGTCAAAGTACAGCTTTCAACACGGAGACTTGGCTCACACCGAACAGCAAGCTATTAAGGGACCCAAAAAAGACTAGTGTAAAACCATTCAAACGGGAAAACCAACGGTCTAATCTATATGAAGAAAAAAACGAGAAACGAGAAACACTTATGAACCACATCAGCAAACGACAACTACTGAACAACAGGTTCCTGACTTAGGACAGGTGCAAACAAATGCAGCGGGTTTAAACGTTTTAACAGGCGCCAACCTTCACCCTAGCCTGAAATAATAGTGTAACATCACAACATAAAAAGACACACTATAAAATATCGATTGAAATGGCTTAACTCAATCAAAAGACATATTAACAAAAACAAGTAAACATACACTGAACGAATAAAGATGTAGGTTTTAGCTGTCATGTAGGTTTAAACTGTCATGAACAATCTGAAATAATAACATTAAAAATTATCCTTTCCAATATGCATAGGACTAATAAGGAAGATAATTTTATAATTTTTTATAGGCAAATATTTACAGATTCGATTTCCGACATTTGTCTTGGCGTTATAATTATTAATGATGTACAATTAAATATCATGCAGATATATAATTTCCAGAGAAAATTAGTTGTATTAGAACACAAGTCATAATCTGCGTTTTATTTTTACCCTTTAAGAATCACAGTGACCTTAATGCATTATTATTATGTTCAGATTTAGATTGACTCATGGATCATGAAAAAAAAACAATTTTAAATAAATTGAATTGTGACCTAATGGGAATATGTTTTTTATGTACTTTGTCTTCCTCCACTGTTTCTTCTAGGTTTTTTCTTATCTTTTCATTCTTTTAACGGTTTGAAATAAACTGGATATCATTTGTAATAGATACATTTACAATCCTTTTGTTTACTTTAGAGGAAGCTCTTTGTGTGAAAAGACCTACTTTTCATGGTATAAAACTTCAGAATAACAAAATCACATAAGTTTCGTGAAATTTTTATTTATAAATCATTTGAATTGTCTCGTATACATCTTCAAATAATCTCTATCGTCGAACGACCTGTTTGTCAAGGTTTGGATTGGCCGGGTCCGTGAGACTCTTATAAAAAAAATCAAAATATCTGACTTAGATATTTGTTTTACATAATTATGCACCAGAAGCATACGTTATTCAATACATGACTTTCTGGCTGCATATTGCGTTAAGTCAAGCCTCCTTTACATCTTTGCAAATGTATAAATGTAGAAGAAAAACTTATGAATAATTTCCCTATTTATTTTTGACATTATTTTCTCTACTCAGCATTACTTATATCAATGTAGTATATACAAATATCAGTAGACGTTTGATTGCCAATTAGCTAACTATTCATCAGTGACATATATACATAAATATAATTATAATAGAGAGATTTTACGGATAATTTAATTCAAAGGAACAGCATGACACATAGTCATAAAGTTTTAATTAAATAAGAAATTAAGTAGGTAGAATAAAGGCCATCTTGCATTTAGAATGGGGGAAATTTTTTTAAAGTGGTAATTTTTTTTAAATATATTCGTGTTTTAAAGAAAACGTGCAGTTATTTACTAAAACAATTGAAAAGATATAAAATGTTCAAGAATTTCAAATCAAATGTTCTCGGTGTCAAAGGCAAACAAATGTTCCTGTTATGACTGGGGACGGGAAAGGGGGCCCTTCCTCTTTTTCTTGTACAATAACTAAGCTTAACTAACAATAAACATCGATAAATTGACAGAATAGTTACGTTGACCATACCGTTAACAATAACGGACAAGTGCTTATACTGTACTGGTCAGATTTAAATCGCAATGCGGCAGTAACATTACGGCCTTTCTAGTACCTTCATAAAATATAATTGCTACCGGCACGGATGATCATCACCATCAAACCTAAGTCAACATCACAGAAAATATAATTTGCTTCTTTTTCTTTTCCTCCTTTTCCATTCTTCTTGTTCTTTTTTTCTTTTTATTTATAGTTCGTATAATATTTAATGAATTTGTTAGCTTTACATGCATGCTCATAATGTTATTATTGTATATATACTTGTATTGTAATATGGAGAAGACTTCATAAGTATGATTTACTTGTGTCTCATCCATTTTGCTGATATTTAGCAAATAAAATATGTTTAAACTAACATTACGGCCCCTATCACCAATTAACAAAACACAAAATTCAGGACGAGACAGTATTACTCACTGACAGACACGCATTCTTTGAACAGACACACTTGTCACATAGACGAGTTTGTGATTATCATAAAATATAAACATTTTCCATATGATAATCATCTGTAAAGAACACCATTTACCCCTCAATACACCAATACTTTGTATGTCGTTTATATCGGAATTGCAAAATCCAGAAACATAACTTTTTTTTATATTAAACAATATATCGTACCGATGTAACTGAAACACCTTAACATTATCATGATCGGATTTATTATTTGTAAAAGCCCTATACTGGTCTAAACGTTTGCACCGTATTAAAATTGTTAGTAACGTACGAATGTCTAGATATATTTTTTTGTTTATTTTGTTAATCGGCTCTGAATTGTAGTTTTCTACATATCCCACACTCTCAAATGAAGAAGAATATCTCCTACTTGTGTCTTTTTGAACATACAGTAAATCAGGATTCATTTATTTACTGAACCAAACTTACTTCTGAAATGTGAGGATGATGGAGTTATTAATGGAGTGGTCGTAGTGATCGGAATATAACAACTGGATTATTCGGGTTAAACTCATACAAGTTCACCAAACAATGTTTACAATGCTACTGATATAAATTTATAAAATGAGTCAATACTTATCTTGTTTGAAAATTCAATATATAAAGATTTTATTGCTTTATTTTTCCAAAAAGGAAGATATAGGCCCAATATTGGTTTCATTCGCAAAGTCAAAATTAAAAAGTTGTCAGATTCTATTAGCATTTGAATATCAAGAGGTCAATATCATATACCTACAACAATTTTTATCAGTTTTGCATATATACATAGAATCAAAATGTAATTCAGGGCCACCTGTTGTTGTTAAAGGCATTTAAATACAGAATTGCTAATTTTTACATGTGTTGTAAAATTTTGTATCAAAGAACACCACTAACCACAAAGTACATATTGTGTATCCCAAAGACAATACATGGCCACAGGTATGAGACGTGATTTAAAAACATATGTATAAATATACTGAATACACTATAGTGTATTATAACGTATGTATATGTTCCGGACTATATGAGTATTTGGACCATACGCGTATGGTAATGACCAAATGGGTATACTCGTATGGTCCAGCCATACGCGTATGGTCCGGCCATACGCGTATGGTCGGACCATATGAGTACTATACTCGTTTGGATTTTAACGGACCAGACCATATGAGTTTAAGACCATATAGGTATTTTTCGAATAATCATAACTTCCTTTGCAGGAACACCCAGCTCACTACCTAAACAAAAAACGACGCAAGTTATACTATTGGAATTCCATTATCTTTTAAATATTGTCTGAATCTTGGTGTATCTGTTATTTTGCATTCGCTCGTGTCAATTTAAATCGCTGCTTTTATACTGCCAATATTCGTCTGTACGTGAAACCATATATGTTTTGGGCATGTTTTTTTTTTCACATGAACGAATTAACTTAAAACATTTTATAAGGAACATTTAAGAAATTATAATGTAATAAAATCAAATTTAAACACCAAAAGAAATTTGAAAAAAGAAAAGGAAGAGGGTTCAATGACCAAAGTTCCTGTGAATTGAGCAATTGCCTTATTTCTTAACAATTCATTTATTTATTTATAGAAGTAATTTTCCAAAGTCGACATATTGCGTTTCATAAAGACCAATCGATAATGACCATGTAAAAAAATATTTTACTATAATTCTAACTTTTAAGTAATATTCACTTTATTAAATTAATTATGTAGCAATGATTACCATATGATTGAATAAGTCAAATTTAGTTTTTGAAACTCTCAATTTGTGTGACACCTTTTCAACGTTCATCATGTTAATTACCCGGACCATACGCGTATGGTCGAACCATGTGAGTATATACGCAGATGGTCATGACTATACGCGTAAGGTCCAAATACTCGTATGGTCCGGAACATATACATTTTACATTCTATTTTTTCAGATCTCGTCTCGTGCCTGACTACATAGCAGTACATGTACATTGAACAGTATTTTGAATTTGGTTAAGAGTGTCCTTCTTATTCCTTTTATTTTAGAAATACAAAATAAACCATAAAAGTTAAAATTAAAGATGTGGAAATGATCCTTAGGAGAGAAAAATGTTTGTTATTTTACATTCGACCAATTGAATTGATCATCATTGATTGTAGATTTCGTTTGGGTATGCTTTCGGTTGGGCATTATCTTATATGTAAGCACAAATAAAGCAACGTTCTGAATTATGATATGCTTCAGTATTTGTAAGGTAAAAACGTCTTTAAACTTCTCGTGAAAACTTTGTCAGTTCTGGTATTGATATCTTCGCAAAATGCTGCATTTGATTGATTAAAGATAAACAATTCATAAACTTACATGATAAAATGTCTTCTTCTACTTCTTCTTTGTGTTGAAGTTCGTTTGTCATTTGTTCTTCTAACCTTCAAGCGATCATTAATGTTTGGTATAGCTGTGTAAGAAAAAAGAGCGATTTAGTTTAGTCTGTCCCTGCTTTAAGTATAAAAGACGGCATTGACTGTGAACCAATAGCTTTATAAGGTTTAACATTTTTTAACAGTTTGTGGACAGTTTTTCTTCGACTATCGTAGATTTTGGCCCATTTTTGTTGGAAAAGCTTTGTTCTTATTTCCACTTTGTAGAAATCAGATTGTATTGATCTTTAAAGGTGCTACTAATGCCCATTCTTGATCCTTGTTTGTGGTGTATGACTAAGATTTTTAGAGTTATCTTTATGAATTATGCTTACATCTTCTATATAAATACGTCTTGCTAGCTTGTTTGATTTCCAAATGTATTTCTTGTTTAAGTTCCTTATTTCCGTCCGTGACTTTTCGATTCTGTTTCCCTGGCCTTCTTGATGGCGTTCAGTATTCCATTTTTTTTCCGGCAACTTGTTGTGTTAACCCATGAAAGGGTGTGTCCTCCTTAGGTCTTATTGTTGGTAATGATCTCTTGTATTTTGGTGTTTTGTATGGGTCTTTTAAAAGGTTGCCAGATATATTCAAAGTTTCTGTTTATGATGCTTTTGAAAGTTGTGCTGCGAAGTGCTAAGTCTCCATTTAGTAATAATTTCTATTTGCTTTTGCACATAAAATGTATTCATTCCTTTACTTATATTTTCAGTGACTAAGGGAGGAACAGAAGACGACGATAATTGCTTCGGCAATTACGACGCTTATGATAATACGTATTCTTATTATTGTGACCCTTCCTCGTAAGTAAGACTTTTATAATACTCATTATTATACGTATACTAATTATTGTAACCCGGACTCGTAAGTAAACTTTTATTACACTCATTATAGTATATATACTTCTTATTGTGACCCGGACTCGTAAGAAGGACATTTATAACACTCATTATTCTACGAATACTAATTATTGTGACCCTGACTCGTAAGTAAAACTTTTATTACACTTATTATAATACGTATACTAATTATTGTGACCCTGGAGTCGATTTCACAAAAATACTTACGACTAAAATTGATCGTAAGTCATGAACAATTCAGTATACCTACGATCAATCTTAGTCGCAAGTTTTTTGCGAGACATGTAATTGAATGTGATCAAATAGATCTGATACAAGTTCAAATTTTCTTTTTTATATCGTCATTTGGTTCAAAATGATAAGAAATAAGTACCATAACTGACATTTTTGTAACATTGTCTATTCGTATTAAGGAATTATGGAAGCTATCACATATAGCAAATACAGCTATTACCTTTATGTCATATTTTGAATCATTTCAACATTTATAGCAATCATTCTGTAAGGCTGAATTCTTTGTTGATTTTTTAATCTAACTTAATATCTATTTCTAGCTACTATGGTAGTCCTTTTCGATGATCGTCAGGGAAGAGGTTCATTAATTCATGTTCGATGGGGATTTGTGTTATCAGCCATGATGCTTAAAGGAACCTTTTAATTGTATCTTTTACCCTCAAAATTAAGTAGCAAATCCATTCATATAATTTTCCAGTGTTTTGATGATTTTTTTCTTTATTTGAAGAAAAGGATGCTGTCATAATAATAACGGTTGGAGTCACCTACTAAAATTATGAAATAATACATTAAGTATACATGTAGCAATTGGTCAGTTGTGAGATATTTCAAGTTATTTTTTTTAACTTTTGGATCGCATAGTCTATTAATGAAACGAAGCAGCAACATTGGAATTATCATATTATTTTTTAAGTGCAATAGCAAGTTGTCTTTTTCATCAGTTTAGCAGCCGTAAGAGTATTAAAGGTTATTTTTATTTAAATTATTCAAACGTTACTCTAATTGTCATTTGTGCCTCAATGGGGGGAAAAGTCAACAGTTAAAAACTCGGACATCCATTTTGAATGCACAAACCAAGAACACGCTCAACGGCGATATATCGGGTACATCGAGCTAAGGCTAAAAAAAGGCGAAAGACACCAAAGGAACATTCAAAGTCATAAGTCGAAAATAAACTGACAACGCCATGGCTAAAAAAGTAAAAGCCAAACAAACAAGCAACGGTACATAAAACACAATATAGAAAAATAAAGACTGAGCAAAACGAAACCCACCAAAAAAACTGAGAGTGATCTCAGGTGCTCCGGAAGGGAAAGCAGATCCTGCACCACGTAATGCAATGGCCGAGTTTTTCATGCAAGTACAAACCCGGTGATAAGTCTTATTCGGTAGGTCTCATTTGAGGAAAATGGGACGGGATTATAGTTACGACAATAAGAACATATTCGTCGTCACCTGTGAAACAGTCAACCAATCTCGTGATGGCGTCCGCAAAATTTAACGTCTCCTACAATTACGCATCATTTGCCCAGCAAATCAGAAGACTATCTTGGTGTCTTCAGATGTAAAACCGCAGAAAATAGAGAGTTAAAACACAGACAAATTTTATCGGACACCAATAAATGTTTAATTTTTTTTTCTGAAAAAGACACGGATGGACGACTTCAAACTGGAAGCAAAGATGAAAATAACATTTTTGAATTTCCCACTGTCAACTTTCTATTTCGAAGATGGAACAAACCTTCTTTCCCATCTTATAGCGTTTACGTATATGTATAGATACGTTAAGTAAATGCATATTCACATTATTTTGACGGTTTTATGATGGTTTGAATCTTACGCAACATGTTCTGACTCAGAGTTTTTGAGAAAGAACGACTGAAATTGACTCTATACAAGTTTTGTGGTCACCAACATTTATTGATGTCCGATAAAATGTGTCTGTGTTTCAACTCTCTATTTATTGCGGTCTTAAATCTGACGCCATAAGTATAGTCATCAGATCTCTCTATTCTTAAAAAAGCTGCTAACTTAATTAATTCATAATATACACGTATGACTGTAAACTAGGTTCTGGGATAGTTTAACTTTTACATAATCTTTAGTCAAAGCAATGGTTAAAAGTCTATACCTTTTTTGAGCATGGTTAATGTATTTTTAATAAAAAATTGAAATTCATTGACATTTCAGATAAAAATGGTGATATTTGACATATTTCCAAAATCATTTTGTGTTAATGTTGATCTTTTACGTTTTCTTTTGACAGTGATCATGTTGCAATAATAGGAGGAGTTTTTGGTGGTCTTGTTGTACTAGGTTTAATTGTAACATTCATTGTCATCTGGTACTGTAATAAAACAAAAACACGACCAGGACGCGTGGTTAATCCAACAACTGTTCCTACTGTAACACGAACTCAGTGTAAGTTTATCATCATGATTATATAACTACATAGTAGAAAGGAATATGGAGGAAAATGACGCCTCTCGAGGTTTTCCTTTCTTAAAAAAATAAAATACTGTATTATAGAACGGAAGTTAATTTTAAGGGTTTTGCTCTAATAGAAAAACAAAGGATATGGGGTATCCATCCATGACACGAAATCAGTACATGCACAGAAAAAAACACACAAATATACACTAAGAGTGCATTTCACATACCTATACTTATTAGTTATAAACAACAAAACAGGCAAAATACCATATCAGGAACATTGTACATTTTGAAATTTGAACACAATAGATTCTAAATGTTATAAATCATAAAAAACATTTTGCAAACCTAACAAAGACATCTCTGACCTATATCATTCTAAAGGAATACGATGTAAACAGCACATATTTGTCGTTTCACCTGTTATGACTCATCAACGGATTTTTACAACAATGATATGATTTTCATATCCTTCTGAAGCACACTATTTCATCCGATTATTATTTGGTTTTTGTCTTTGGGGTTGAGACGGGTATCGTTGATTTTTTTTCTATTATTCGTTGCTTTTTCTGTTTTTTTCTCCAATATACGGTTTTCTCACCCCTCCCTAACCCCAACCTACTCGGTGTTATTACTTTTTAATAGTTGTTCATGATGCATTTCTTCTTTTCCAGTTGGTGGAACTTATGGTAATAATTTTTCACACCACACTACCACCCAGTTTGGAACTGCTTTTACATATGGTCAACAGCAACAGTCTCAGGACGATCCGTATCCACCACCACCAGCGTATAATTACTAGCAAAACAAGTTGGATATTGCTTGATAGAGATGTAACATAATAAAGAACACACGGTCATCTTCATAAAGACAGTACTCACTGAAATAAACTATGTTTATTGCCCTTAATGAATCAAATTCTTCCTAAAATATCTCTTATAACAACTGAGTCTATCAATTTCAAAGTTGAACATGATATCGTATAAGAACGGAACAATTAAACAAGATTGTTCTCCATCATCATAGAAAAGTCGGGTTTCATCAAACTTTACGCTCTGGATGTAAAACAACCAATAGTCAATCAATCAAACTTTATGTGCGGAATGATATCAGCTTATGCATGAATTTCTATGTGTTTGTATATTCTAAATATTTGTTGCAATGCGAGCACGTACAAAAACTTTTTTGTTGGTGTCAACTACAAAAACAAATGTGTTGATGTCTTTGTCAAATTTACTATCAACTACAAAAACGTTTTTGTTTGCGTTTTTTTTTTTTTTTTTTTTTTTTTTTTTTTATTTATTTGTATGATTGTTGAATTTTTTAGTCAGTTGTGTTGTATGTTTGTCATGAATGTTTACCCAATTTTGGCTGCTGAATTCCAATTATTGTCATATTATCCTTTTATATTTGTTTTGTTGCTTACCAAACTTTGTCAATATAATAGAATTATAAAACAACTGTCATACAAGTGGAAGGTTTAGCTATCTATAAAACCATGCTTAACCAACCATTTTCTTCGAAAAATGTCTGTACCAAGTCAAGAATATGACAGCTGTTTTCCATATTGGTTCCGTTGGTTGGTGAAGTCTAACTTTTGATGTTTTCTATTTTCATTGACTTCTCCATTTTTGAGTTTACCTTGAAGTTTGGTATACTTGTTATACTTTTGTTTTGATATGTTGTAGACAATTCTTAAATATGGATCCAATTCAAAGGATATAAAAGTTTCTTAGATACATTTTAAATATGAGAATCTCTTTTACATCTCCATACAGTTTCCTATCTTTCCTTTTAAGAATTAATAACACGTTGATACATGTTATTAGTTCTTACATGGACAGCTGTGTTAGATAAAAATGTACTTTCTCTTAGATTAAAAATTAAGATGAATAATAAAACATAATAATAAATTTATTATAGAATAAGAAAGAGATGATTCCTGATGAGGATAATAGGTGATGAGATCGAGGCTTCTATTTCTCTCTATCATTCACACATAAAAAAATACCACATGCATTTAATTTATGATACTACCTTGCAAGGCCTTTAATTTTTGTTTTTTACTCCTAGTTGTAGTTCTAGTTTTAATATCTTGTACTATGAATACAGCTAAAGATACTATCCACATGTGTGTTTCAGATCAGGTGTTTCATAGTTCGTTATAAAATTCTAAATTGTCGAGAGTGCACATTTCTAGCTTGTTTAACTATAATAAAACCGCTTAAGATACGACATTCTTTATTTCAGACTCCAAAGAGCCATACACATATACATAACACAAAATATTCTGTCTAAACAGGATAAAAAATTAAATTATTTACAGAACTCATTAAAGTTTAAAATTCATACAATAAAAATTCGTTGTACCATACTCTTAACAATGTTGAAAAACATGAATAAAGATAAAAAAAACTATCCACATAGCGTTTATTTGTTCAGTATCCTCCTTTTGAGTTTGATGATTTACAGCATTAATGTAACAAGCAGCTATATAATTTATCAAATAGTGTAAAACCAGCCGGTGACAGCAGGCTTAAAAATACCAACGTGATTTAAAATTATAAATTGCGGGTGAAGAAAATTTTGAACATCTCAAACATTCTGTTACGTATACTTTGATAGAATAATTTTAAGATACCGATAGGTTCTATAAATGCCATTTCGATTATGAAAAAAATAAGTGCATAAATGAATATTTCAGTAATTATATATAGCAGAAAAAGGGCATTTATAAGCCTTATACATTTCAATACGTTACTCTGTACCAAAATGACTTTGACAGCTCCTTGTGTACGTTAGTAAGAAGATTTGATCCAAAAGAAAGACATCTATATCGATATATTGTGAGAATATACATATAGGACTGGAATACGCTTAGTCCTTTGGTAGGTGTACATGGTATTTTTTTTTTCAAGTTTTGAATCGTTTTGTGTAAGACTTAAAGGTACATGTATTCATTCCATAAATTGATTTGCATACGAAATTCATTGTTAGAGTCCATACAATGAATTTCACAGTATAACACTTATTGAGCAGCAAGTGGTAATTAACACTTCCCAATCAAACTTATTGATGACAAATCATACATAAAAGTACATCATTAACACTAATTATATTTGTTATTGATCAAATTATTAAAGTGCATGTTAAAACTGGCCGCTTCATCTATCAGTTTGAAAATAAATTAGTTATACTTTATAACATGTGCATGTAATATGGATAGACGATTTTTTATGGATGTATACTGGACAAGTTTATCCTTTCTTTTAATAGGTATGCTACTTACGAAACAATGATTTCGCCATAAGATTTTAAGTCGGGGACGTTCCGTAATCAAAATTAATATTATAATTATCATTTTTAACATTAAAATTTTATTATTATTACATACGGTAATAGTGAAATATGTCAAACACTGCACTCAATCAATTTGGACATAACCACATATGTTTAGACATACCATTTGTTCATTTTAACACTTGTTTCTTTCCGTAATTGCTGTTTACGTAATGTTTTGTTATTTATCTGTTAGTCGTCTTTTTTTTTCATTTCTCCTCTTTTTTTCATTTATTCATTTGTTGATAACTACGTCAAGATATGATACTGGTTTAGGCCAATGTTTTAAAATCTATTGAACGTTTGAGTATAAAGAACATCAAACAGTTAGCTAGTACAGCAAAAAACTTTAGTACTGCATTTAAAATCAGAGACAACATTTACATATCACCATTCTGTGTTTGTTTTCTTGTTTTATTTATTATTCTATATTTACACCAATCAACTGTAAAGTTTCAAGCAATGAAGAAATCGAACTTGTATTTCTTTTCTTGCAAAGTAGTTTTTGTTCAAGTATCTTGAGATAATGAAATACTTTGCAAACATTTATTTTATATGTATATGGCCTTCTCATTTCTATATATCTAACCATGATCTAACTGACACCCTTTCCTCCTCGTGTTGCTTTCGTGACACTCATACTTCTATTTGTTGCAAATACGGACGTATGATATTTGCGCTGATTTTTCAAATTTTCATTCTTTCATTTGCGCCGATTTTATATTTGCTCCTAATTGCATTTACAATTTAACACTGGTGAGTAAATATTTGTACATGTACTATGCCTTAAATGTATATTGGTAAAATCTGGTTATAAACGTTGTTCACTTATGTTTAAGTTAAGAAAATCCAGGCCGTTACGTATGCTAAAATGCGAACTCTAGAAATGCCCGCATCAGTAAGTTAGCCAGAGAAAGAAAAGATGGACTTCGTTATTAACATTTACGACAAATATAGAGACTAAATCACAAGAAAGGAATATATTAGATGTGTTGCCTTAAATACTCGGCATGAACAGATTTATGATTTTAATATATTCCGTTTTTATGGATTTTAATGTTGTAAATAGATTTTTAATTCGTGATTTCAGTATAAACAGAGTAAAAACAGAGTGCTTTTATCTTAGGTTTTTACTTCTTGATTTTAAAGTATGTGAACAAAGTGCTTTTAAATTGACTTATCCTGCTCAAAATCCTACTTCCACCTCCCCGTGGTGAGCAGAGGACAACAGTTATATACATGTTATGATTGACAATTCACAACATTTGTACAACTGGCGAACGGAAGAGGTCTATAATGATAAATGAAAAATAACATTCACCTGTAATTTACCTGTAATTTACATGTAAAAAAATCGGCGCAAATGAAATGCAGATCGGCGCAAATGCAAAACGCCGGCAAATACAAAATAAAAACGTGTTTGACACCATTATAGACCACGTTTAATAAATGATTTGGTTCAATTGAATATTGTGGTTCGATTGAAAATAATGTGTGCATGGCTTCTCCGTCTATTGGTGTCATAATGAGATCTTAAATGTTGAGAAGAGGTAGTTTTGTTTTCTCTCATTTTTGTTTATTTTGTTAGCCCAGACTTAAGTGTGTGCTATTCTTTATTTTCACAATATGAATTGTTATGTAAAATACCAACGTACTTAGAATGCGTCATTCTAAGTGAAGAAGATCCTCAAAACCTCAAACAATTTAACTTGTACTCACGAATAGAAAAGGCAACTGAAAATATACGGAATCAGAAACAAGGAAGACACATTAATGTATAAATGACATAAAGTTGAAAGGAAAATGTTAATTTGATAAAGGTTGTTGGAAAGGTAAGCAGAAATAGGAAACGACATTGAACAAAAATGCTAAAAAATATGATGGCAGTCCCCGTCTATATAACGAAACTTAAAAATTAATATGGTTAATCATTTAAATGTCCATTATTGAAACAGATATTTGTTAATTTTCTGTTTTAGTAACAACAGTGACCACTTAAGCTGACAATGGGGAAAGAGGGGGGGGGGGGGGGGGGACTTTAAGAACGTCGGTCTAAACTGACTTCAAATTCTATTGGACAACAAAAATCTTTTGTTATATCACGTGGGTCTTCTTTTAAAAGAGCCAACCAATTGATTAGAATAGTGTACCATCGGATATACTAGATGATACAATAACCATAATAACAAATGCTTTACACTTGACAGAATAGTTACTTCCACAAATATAGCAGAGATAACTTTTATGAAAATGAACGAATGTATCTGGCAAGACAAAAATTATTGATATCCAAATAAATTTTGAAATCCTCTAGTCAAATAAAAAGCAATGAAACAGAGGAAGGACAAAAGCAATGAAACAGAGGAAGGACAAAAGCAATGAAACAGAAGAAGGACAAAAGCAATGAAACAGAGGAAGGACAAGGGACAATTAAACAGAGGAAGGACAAAAGCAATGAAACAGAGGAAGGACAAAAGCAATGAAACAGAGGAAGGACAAAAGCAATGAAACAGAGGAAGGACAAAAGCAATGAAACAGAGGAAGGACAAAAGCAATGAAACAGAGGAAGGACAAGGGACAATGAAACAGAGGAAGGACAAAAGCAATGAAACAGAGGAAGGACAAAAGCAATGAAACAGAGGAAAGACAAAAGCAATGAAACAGAGGAAGGACAATTGTTCCCGAACTCTCAGAGAAAGGATGTGAGCTATGATCAGTCACAATTTGTATGGAAACGGCAATTTGAATTTCCCCACTCCCTCCAACAGTTTGCAGGCAGGCATTGCTAATTACTTGCATTTGTATAACATACATTATTATGTTTTTATCTTTTCTGTTTCAGTGCCATTCAATAGTAGCCAAGGAAGTCATACATATTCTCACTACAACCACGATTACTATTACCACCACTCTGATACAAAGTTAGTAATAGTTACTTTTACAAAACAATGATCTCTTCTTGGTTTTAAAGTTAGATCAAAAAACTATTTGTTAGGTTAGCTATTGATTATTAAATTGGTAAGTCACACTCTTTGTATATTGGTAGAATCTTGATGGACGAAGTCCATATAGAGGTTACAACAAAAATGTGTCTAAAGTAGATGAAAGTAATCTCGTCAAAATATCTTAGTAAATACTGCTTATTACATATATACGCATATATATGGCATCATTTTCTCCAATAAATTAGATTCATTTAAATAATGTGTTTTAAAGAAACTTGATGTAGAATCAGTTAAAGTTAAAAAACAGAAAAGGGTAGAACGATATTTCAAAATAGGTTAATGCCAAGCGCCATAATTTGGTCCCTGCATTGCAATAATAAAAACAAAAATGATTTGAAACTTTTTAAAATTAATTCATCCTCTGGTAAATGAACAAAATGACATTATCTGGACACTTTAGTGTAGAAATGGCAAATGTGATTTCACTATAATGCCAAAAAATATGTCGAAATTAACATATTTGACCTAAAATTGACATTTTATACATAAGCATCTGCAAAGTAACAGCCTTACCCGAAAACAAATTTCGACCCACATTTAAATCTTTGTATAAGAAATCTTTTTGTGTTAGGCAGTGAATCATATCTAGGTCTAAATATTCATGATAAAATTTCAAAGTGAGGCCGTTTTCAGATTGACAGATCCAGCAGTTTAAATTTGTATTAAACACAAGAAGTTTGGACACATAATCAACTGTTTAAATATAAATACTGGAATCTAGATGTCTTCGCACATCAAGAACACGTTTTTTTATTTTTTTTTTTTTTTTTTTGGTTTTGTGAATCCAATAGGTGTTCTAATATTACCATCGTTTTTCTATATAAACACAAAAAATGATAAAACAACTCCGACAACGAACAAATTTTCCATTCAACAACATACAAATATATTAACGGTGCCTCAGCAAATTGAAAAGTGTGTAGATGATAATATAATAAACGTAAGCACATTTATCTTTTGTTTTTAGATATAATGATGCTGTAGCAGGGATAGCAGTTGGAAGTTTCATTGGTGCAATAATTATAACAGTTATTATTGTAATTTGCATAAAAAAGCATAATAAAACCTACGCCAGCAGAAGTCAAGTGATACACCCTCACTTACAGACTATATCAACGTCTATAAGATGTAAGGTTGTCTATTTATTTTCCATATGAATAAAAAAGAAATGCCGTGTAGCATTCGAAAATGAGGTCTAGGACAATTTCAAACGACACAAAATTGAAAAAATACAATTTAAAAGAGGTCAGCATGTTTTCACATTCAATAGTATCAATGTTGTTTGTTAAGATTTATTTAAAAGGTGAGCTTCATGGCAGCTAAAACGCTTTTTTTTTAATGTCTACACGCGTGCATGCATAAACTCGTTCCATGATGTTACTAGTATGAATTCCTACACAGGCGACAACATTTTGTAAGTCATTGTGCACTGTTTTACATCTCGGTCTTTTACTCACAAATTTAACATCAGTCAGAAGTTAGTCGGCACCGTTTATACACCAATAAACACAGTAAGACCACATTTATAACTGTAAAATAAAAATAAAAGAACGAGCAGGTGTTTTTACAATATAAAATCAGCAATAAAAAAAAGTCTTTCAGTATAATATTTTACAAAAGTAAATATTGTGTACTGTGAATTATTTTCTGTCCACATAAAGCTATTGTAATATGTTGGCTGAGAAAAATAATAACATAAAAACAATGAATGTATTTTTTTTGCAGACAACCAGTTCTCCACAACAACGTTTCAAGAACCGCCGCCATATCAACAATTTGCTGATCCCTGTCCCCTACCGCCGCCTTATCCAGGAAACTGTGGGTTGTACTCAAGTATAACATTGTTTGACACTGATCAACCACCTCCAAGATATCAACAATAAAGTTAATTGGGAATCATATAGCAGTTCTTTTTATTATTACATTATTCCTGAGACACGACAATAGTTCATTTAAATTTAAAATCTGTATTTGCATTTTTAAGTACCAATTACTGCAGTTGAAATTCATTTCCTTTTACGTCAATTCTCAATACACCCAATGAATGTCATTTGTATATTAGAAAAGAAAGGATACTGGATATCCATCCATGACACAAAATCAGTATGTGCACAGCAGAAAACAAAAAGCAAAAAGGAACAGCGCTTTATGGCTGATCTTCATCTCAAAGTCACAGTGAGGCCTTCAACACGGAGCCAAAAAACTCACCTCACTGCAAGTTTAAGACGGCCCCTAGTACCGGATTGAGCGGAATTATATACATTACAGGGAAGGATTGAGTTCTCATAATACTAGTTTAACAACAGTCACTTGTCTCTGAAAAAATAGTTTTATACTTTGATTAATGGTAAATCTTGACTCTTGAGTTCACCATAATTAGTAGGGTGCCCAGTGTCCAAAAAGTCCTCTAGTTAACGAGTTAAAGTTAAGGGATAACACACGGCTAATTCAATTTTCAAATTATAGGAAAATCATTATATTTAACAATCTTGATTGTCGTCGTAGGTTCCCGTGGTTGTTGGTGGTTAAAATAGTACTTATAAGATAGTTTATACATTAAATATATCATATAACAAAAACGGAAAGAATTTAAGTGATTTTAGTATAACTATTTCAGCATTTTAGTAAGACTAAAATTTTACCCGAAATTTACCACATTTTCATCGAAAACAAATTTATTACGTGTATCATCACGATATTTTTTACTAAGCAATAAGAAACATTTTGGCATTGATTGAACACGGATTATCCCGTGACCTTAATCATGTTGTTGCTTACACTATTAGGTCATTAACAAGGACAGTGGTCACTCAATACATTTCTCATTTTTGCTTGTTGTGTGGTTGATTTATTTGTTTTGAATAGCCAGTTAACTTTGTAAATTGTTGTTTTCTTCACCGCGCTGAAGTACGTCCATTATTCATTTTTCATTATTCAAAATTCAATAATGAATAATGAAATAGTTCACTATTCACTATTCAATATCAAGTGATGAATAATGAATAATGAAATAGTTTATGTTTCATTATTCAAGTTAAAGCGGTGAATAGTGAAATAAAAATAAAAAAAATTGACTGTGACATTTTAGCTATGTCCCGTATTTCTCAATTAGTCTTTTTGGTGTTATCTAACAAATATTCAAATTGATATCAGAAAAAATAAATAAAAACACTCTTTAAATTCTAATTTTATTTATTTATCTGGTTCCTAGTTTCGGAGGATAAACTAGTGGGTTTTCCTAACTATTTTTAACAGGAATTCCTTGGTTCAATGTATGGACTACCTGAATACCAAAACATATATTTATAAATTAAAATACTCTACGTGGTCTTTTTTTATTTTCACTGGACCTTTGCTATTCTTCATCCACTAATTATAGATATAACAAGTCGAGTGTTCAGCAATGACCATTAGAGGGGTTACGGAGGACCTAAATGCCAAAATACGCGTGAAAATTAAGAAATAGCCAATTTTGAATAATGAAATGGATATTTTGAATAATGGAATGGACTGCTGCGACCCTTTAGCCCCTAATTATAGATATACCTTATACCTCATTCGAAAGCTTATTAAGAGAGGAACAAAAGGTATATAGTCAATATGTTCCGCAACGCATATTAGAGGAGTAACGAAGGACCTAAATATCGAAATACGCGTGAACATTAAGAAATAGCTTATTTTGAATAATGGAATGGACTGCTGCAACCCGTCAGCCTCTAATCAAAGAAAAATTTATACACCAAATTAAAGCTTATTGATAGAGGAATAAACTGAGTATAAACGATATGTGCCGCAATGACCATTAGAGGGGTTACGGAGGACCTAAATGCCAAAATACGCGTGAAAATTAAGAAATAGCCAATTTTGAATAATGAAATGGATATTTTGAATAATGGAATGGACTGCTGCGACCCTTTAGCCCCTAATTATAGATATACCTTATACCTCATTCGAAAGTTTATTAAGAGAGGAACAAAAGGTATATAGTCAATATGTTCCGCAACGCATATTAGAGGAGTAACGAAGGACCTAAATATCGAAATACGCGTGAACATTAAGAAATAGCTTATTTTGAATAATGGAATGGACTGCTGCAACCCGTCAGCCCCTAATCAAAGAAAAATTTATACACCAAATTAAAGCTTATTGATAGAGGAATAAACTGAGTATAAACGATATGTGCCGCAATGACCATTAGAGGGGTTACGGAGGACCTAAATGCCAAAATACGCGTGAAAATTAAGAAATAGCCAATTTTGAATAATGAAATGGATATTTTGAATAATGGAATGGACTGCTGCGACCCTTTAGCCACTAATTATAGATATACCTTATACCTCATTCGAAAGCTTATTAAGAGAGGAACAAAAGGTATATAGTCAATATGTTCCGCAACGCATATTAGAGGAGTAACGAAGGACCTAAATATCGAAATACGCGTGAACATTAAGAAATAGCTTATTTTGAATAATGGAATGGACTGCTGCAACCCGTCAGCCCCTAATCAAAGAAAAATTTATACACCAAATTAAAGCTTATTGATAGAGGAATAAACTGAGTATAAACGATATGTGCCGCAATGACCATTAGAGGGGTTACGGAGGACCTAAATGCCAAAATACGCGTGAAAATTAAGAAATAGCCAATTTTGAATAATGAAATGGATATTTTGAATAATGGAATGGACTGCTGCGACCCTTTAGCCCCTAATTATAGATATACCTTATACCTCATTCGAAAGCTTATTAAGAGAGGAACAAAAGGTATATAGTCAATATGTTCCGCAACGCATATTAGAGGAGTAACGAAGGACCTAAATATCGAAATACGCGTGAACATTAAGAAATAGCTTATTTTGAATAATGGAATGGACTGCTGCAACCCGTCAGCCCCTAATCAAAGAAAAATTTATACACCAAATTAAAGCTTATTGATAGAGGAATAAACTGAGTATAAACGATATGTGCCGCAATGACCATTAGAGGGGTTACGGAGGACCTAAATGCCAAAATACGCGTGAAAATTAAGAAATAGCCAATTTTGAATAATGAAATGGATATTTTGAATAATGGAATGGACTGCTGCGACCCTTTAGCCCCTAATTATAGATATACCTTATACCTCATTCGAAAGTTTATTAAGAGAGGAACAAAAGGTATATAGTCAATATGTTCCGCAACGCATATTAGAGGAGTAACGAAGGACCTAAATATCGAAATACGCGTGAACATTAAGAAATAGCTTATTTTGAATAATGGAATGGACTGCTGCAACCCGTCAGCCCCTAATCAAAGAAAAATTTATACACCAAATTAAAGCTTATTGATAGAGGAATAAACTGAGTATAAACGATATGTGCCGCAATGACCATTAGAGGGGTTACGGAGGACCTAAATGCCAAAATACGCGTGAAAATTAAGAAATAGCCAATTTTGAATAATGAAATGGATATTTTGAATAATGGAATGGACTGCTGCGACCCTTTAGCCCCTAATTATAGATATACCTTATACCTCATTCGAAAGCTTATTAAGAGAGGAACAAAAGGTATATAGTCAATATGTTCCGCAACGCATATTAGAGGAGTAACGAAGGACCTAAATATCGAAATACGCGTGAACATTAAGAAATAGCTTATTTTGAATAATGGAATGGACTGCTGCAACCCGTCAGCCCCTAATCAAAGAAAAATTTATACACCAAATTAAAGCTTATTGATAGAGGAATAAACTGAGTATAAACGATATGTGCCGCAATGACCATTAGAGGGGTTACGGAGGACCTAAATGCCAAAATACGCGTGAAAATTAAGAAATAGCCAATTTTGAATAATGAAATGGATATTTTGAATAATGGAATGGACTGCTGCGACCCTTTAGCCCCTAATTATAGATATACCTTATACCTCATTCGAAAGCTTATTAAGAGAGGAACAAAAGGTATATAGTCAATATGTTCCGCAACGCATATTAGAGGAGTAACGAAGGACCTAAATATCGAAATACGCGTGAACATTAAGAAATAGCTTATTTTGAATAATGGAATGGACTGCTGCAACCCGTCAGCCCCTAATCAAAGAAAAATTTATACACCAAATTAAAGCTTATTGATAGAGGAATAAACTGAGTATAAACGATATGTGCCGCAATGACCATTAGAGGGGTTACGGAGGACCTAAATGCCAAAATACGCGTGAAAATTAAGAAATAGCCAATTTTGAATAATGAAATGGATATTTTGAATAATGGAATGGACTGCTGCGACCGTTTAGCCCCTAATTATAGATATACCTTATACCTCATTCGAAAGTTTATTAAGAGAGGAACAAAAGGTATATAGTCAATATGTTCCGCAACGCATATTAGAGGAGTAACGAAGGACCTAAATATCGAAATACGCGTGAACATTAAGAAATAGCTTATTTTGAATAATGGAATGGACTGCTGCAACCCGTCAGCCCCTAATCAAAGAAAAATTTATACACCAAATTAAAGCTTATTGATAGAGGAATAAACTGAGTATAAACGATATGTGCCGCAATGACCATTAGAGGGGTTACGGAGGACCTAAATGCCAAAATACGCGTGAAAATTAAGAAATAGCCAATTTTGAATAATGAAATGGATATTTTGAATAATGGAATGGACTGCTGCGACCCTTTAGCCCCTAATTATAGATATACCTTATACCTCATTCGAAAGCTTATTAAGAGAGGAACAAAAGGTATATAGTCAATATGTTCCGCAACGCATATTAGAGGAGTAACGAAGGACCTAAATATCGAAATACGCGTGAACATTAAGAAATAGCTTATTTTGAATAATGGAATGGACTGCTGCAACCCGTCAGCCCCTAATCAAAGAAAATTTTATACACCAAATTAAAGC